AAGCCAGTGACGTAAGTATTATTTCTTACCTTGATTTTCACTATACCAGATCAACTTTGTTTCTGTGCCATTCCATTTCGTGCACGGTTTACATTGCCATACCCTCCTAAATTCATTTAAGTTTGCACATCAGTTTCTGCTAAAGGCTTTTCAACTTCCTTTACTCAATTTTCGAAAAACATAAACGGAAAGAAAAAGCGATGGATCTAGCTCTGTTTGGTTCACACTATTACTCTTGTCTCTTTTACTATTGAAAAGATTATAATATTAACACTAGCAAATTTTACATGTTCGAATGTCTAATATCTAAATTATGATGTCTAAAAACCTAATTTTAACTGGCTTTAATTGATAGTTATTGTATAGTCACCTTTCAATTAACTATGCAAAACGTATTATCTTTCTCTAGTTTACTTTTACAAAAAGTAACTGAATTTTCGTAGACTATAAGTTACTTTGACAATCCTGTCTCTTTTAATGTTCCATGATAGTTTGATTCCATCTATGACGCGATCACATATGTAACACTTGGAGTTGAAGTGTGACCAAACTATGTAAATGCTATTAATTCATACGAAAAATCTTGGTAGTGCAGCACATTCAAGGCTGAAATGTAGAACTCACATGAATTCTGTAGCATCATTAAACTAGTACTGAATGCGTAAAGTGGAGAATATCTTGTAGACTATAGTTGTTTCTAAAGACGATCGATCGCCATCATAAGAATTAATCTCCTTTATTTCTGAATTTCGAAAAGAGATTTTCTCTTTTTTTCTGAAAAAAAAGGAGGGAGTTACTAAAGTCTGTAATAGAGGAGCATTTTTAATAGGCAATGTCTTCCATAGGAGTGTCTGTAATGAAATGGAGACAGGAAGAAGCGCCGAAAGACTGCGACTTCAGGCTTATACTCACGATGCTCTTCGAAAATGCTTGTGAATTCCATAAAATGAATAGAATATGTTAATCTCAAAAGAAAAATATTCGTTGGAACTCAACGACTGTGATACAGAATGATAGTGGGCAAAGTGTATTAGACGAAAGAGAATATGAGACGAAAAATACGGCCACATGTAACGAACTACATTATTGCAACTGTATTGGTTCGAGCTTTGATACAACCTTGCATGATATTTCTTTTAGTTGTGTGTCTTTATCTAATTATTACTTAATTTTCATGACGAACTCACCTGTGTCCATTAAGATGTTAGGTACTCAGACCAAATCTATAATATACACATTTATAAAAAGTGAAAATCTGTTCATCGAAGCATAGTTCTCATATTCAAACAATCAAGATCGTACTAAAGCCTTTGAGTTTGGGCGTGAAGTACGTATCCGTACACTAGTCTGAACAAAGGAAATAAATCTGAAAAGAGAAGTGCCAAGAAAAAATATCAACACTGAATGGAGACAGAGTTCTTCTGACGGATTTTCTAATGACTATAATGCTGCTCGATATGGATAAAAATTTCTATCGTCAGTGTTTAGCGTACTAATTTTTTTATTATGTAGATATTCTATGGATAAAAGTAGATGTTTCTCTAAGAATAATGTGACAGTCAGAGCTTTTTTAGAAACAGTTAGTTTGTGCAAGAGTCACTGAACGAATAGCGTTTGGTATTGATGAAAATATTTCGTGCCGAGAAATGAAATCGTATTAATCAGTTTCAGTGAAGTTTGTTTGAAAGTTCAATGATGGGAACACTATTTTTAGCAAAGGCTAATAGAAAATTGAGTCAGTGATAACAAAGAATCTAAACCAGTCATAATTTGTTGTTAAAAGTAAGGATTAGATAGAGATGCTCTTGTCGTGTCCTTCAGTTTCACCATCACTAATATGTGATACTTTGTAAACTTACTTGATCTGTTAGTAATAGGTGTTCTCAAAGACAATGGTGGACATAAATGAGCAGAAGCTCAATCAATGGAAAAGCAGACTGGAGTATTGCATCGAGTGTTATTGACGCAAATAGTATTTGGTGCCGAGCACGTCATATTATCATTTTGACATGATACCAAACTGTTGCAGGAGATCAACGTATCGGCACATATTCCTCTCCCAGTAATTGTCATTAATAAACACTCACAATCCATGTTTGCCGAACATCGTAATAAATAATTTTCGCAGCACGGTGATGGACAACATCCACAAGTGGGAAATGCCAAATTCTTTCTGGTTTTACCTAAAAAAACTGTATTATTGAAGTGCTCGTCAAAACAGCAAACATTGTAGCTTAGAAATAAGATTTTAATGTCATACAATGTATTTTATGTGGAATGAAAATCAAAAATCGAACGAAATATACGTCATTAAATCAAGATGAAACTTCGTTTGAATCAATGAAGTAAATTAATTCTTCTTACCTAATACGACACCCACAAAACAGCTACAAATGACAATCTATCAAATAATAATCAAGCTTTTTTCAATAGAAATGCTTACACTATTAATACCAAAATTGGAAACCTCTGCATGTTTTGACATTAGAATGAGCTGTATTGAAGTGGTCGTTCGATTTATAGGCCATGTACTTCCTCTTCCAACATTTTGTCCCATGAGCCAGTGTATGAGCACAAAAGACATGAAATATTTTTGTTTATCTTTATAGTACAAGTTTTTAATGAGTTTGATCGAATTTCAGTGTACAACATTAGTTATATGATAAGGCATAAACAAAGTGGCGAATCGAAAGTGAGACTCGATACAACATGGGAGAAGCGAAATGGAATAATCTGAATCATTTCCTATTATCATCTCCTTTGTCTCCGATAGCATTATTGACCCGACGTCATTGTGTTTGATTAATGCCTTGTTCCATGTAGATAAAACAAATAATTACCTTTGGTATTTACCACAAAAGCATTAGTGAAGTTTCATCTAAGGAAGTTCAAACAAGACAAAAATAAGGAAGTGCAAATCAAGTGTACTCAATTCATGTCAATTTATTACTCTCGATAAATGAAGTATTTTGAAAGGATGTGGGTGTCAAGATAAGAGAATTACTGCACGCAAACTCCCTCCTACGTCCACACCCTCTAATTCACTATAGTTTACTACTGAAGTTAAAAGAAATCCAGTAATATTGCTCAGTTGCTTTCTCAAATGTTTTGGTCGACTTGAAACTCCATATTGGATGAAAAACCCTGCGTCAGTATGAGGATCGTAAAGAGTAAAAATCTTCATTCTCGACGTAGAGCTGATATCAGTGGATTTTGTATCACATACATATTTGTAACCATCACTCTCTGGATCAAGAAGATGAATGTGGCTCAAATAAATATCCATCTGTCTTCATAATCATTCAATAACTAGTGAATGAGAGGCTTGAAGAGTAATTCCTTTTAGAATAATCTCCTAAGTTTTACGAGATGACCAAAATAAAACGTTTTTAACATGAAAAAACTTAGCCAAAGAATTTCATATGTGCATACTAATAAAATATCAAGAATTATTCTTCAAATGAACAAAGCAAATGAAAGACTGCTGCTATCATACTTAAGTCAATGCAACATTTTATTTGAAGTATCGCTTTAATCTCTTGCAATGAATAGAAATGTATAATATGCATTTCAGTTTATCTTTACTATTTGATTCAACCTTATCGACTAATATTTTTTTAATAATAGTTCAATGGGCCGAGTTTTTAATTACATGAGCTGATATCGACATTGCCATCGACAACTGAATAGCAAAAATTTAGTTTATTTTTACATGTAGAAAAATATTATACAATGATTTATTTTTAATTACTTCGATTTCTTGAACTATTCTAACTTTTAAATTTTTACAGACATTTGCTTTGATATATTTCCATATATTAGACTTATCGGTCAGATAGTAGAAAATCATCTTGAAACAATTTGCTGATGTCATAGGTTGCTAGAAAGTAACTTTTTTAGGAACTCTTTTTTTTTCTATAAAATCAGATAAAAGATGCTTTGTAGCATGTCAAGATTATTTTGTTGACCAATCATAGCACCATGATGATCAATCATTGGGTCATCGAAAAAAATGATTCAACGTTTAGTTTGTTGGACACTACACATCACATAGTAAGTTTTGCTGAGTGCATTACTGAAACTTTTAAAGTTTACATAAATCTTTATTTTATTAATACCCCGAATCAATAATAATACAATATCTATTTAGTCAAATGATATTCTAAAGAAAAAAAACAAAAACATTAACCATGATCATTCAAATAATCTGATTTGTTTTTTTGTTCTGTTTTGATTTACGGTTACCTGGTTAATGATGAATATATTTCACCTTGGTCTCAAGGAGACATTATATCAAAAATAGAGTCAGTTTACTATTAGAAATAATATCTATAGTTTGTAATTGTATATACCTTTTTCTTGTTTCTATGGCCTTGATTTGCTATTGACAGTATTTCTTCGTCTGTTGAAATTATTTGTTGATGTAAGAATACTTACAAGCTTTCGAGAAACTTAATGTATTTCTATTTGATGTGCATATGAATTATTTTTGATTCATTTACAACTTTGAAGACATCAAACGAGAACAGTGATGATATTGAGTAAACATCTTATATGTTTTTAATCTATTTCTACATTTATCAAAAACTTCAAATCGAATTAGAAAAAAAAACGAAAACGTATAATCAATCAGATTTAATACGCAACAAAAAGTTTCAATAAAGAAATACTATATGTTATACAAACCATGCATCCTTAACCTTTTAGCTCCCATAGTAGTCTCAGAAAATAACTTTATTTTGATCACTACTTTAGTATGTGCAATTTGTCGAATTATTTCGAATCATATCACTAAGATATTCCAAAAGATTTCTATGGAGCGTAAGTAGAGAATATGTCGTTTTTTTTTAAAGTTGATTTTTTCTTCACTTCCTTGAACTTCTGTAATGATTCTAACAATAGCTACTCTAGTGACCAACGGAGGATAAATAGTTAATCTTTGATTTAGTTTTCTTTAATTAACATAAGATACAAAAATTTTACAAAATATATATATAATATTAGTATGTTGGTAGAATGGCACTAGCTGTTCTTGATATTTCTTTATACCATATAAATTGAAGTGCATCAATATATGCAAATGCTTGACCTCGTACATATCCCAATGTATGATTCGGTAAATATTCATCATTTTCAGTACCATTAGAAGAACCAAATAATTCACTTTGTCGTCCTTGATTTGTATGAAAACGTAAACCAACAACAAGAAAAGTTCCATTTGGTTTAAAACGATTAACAATCCACCGTATACCTGTATAAACTGTTACACCATCTATATATTCATTAGAATTTAATTCAAATTCATAAGTATGTCCTACAGATGGATAAATTGTACGACCATGTTGTTTTGATTTACCATTTGAATAAGTAAAAGTTATACATTCCAGTTTATCTGTTGACCAACTAGCTGTAATTCCGATTAATCTATCATTAAAAGTTAATGAACAATCTTCTGCATCATTAAAAGAATCACCACCAAATCCATTTCCATGAAGAAAGCCTACTTTAATCAATAATAAGTCTAGAGAAAAATAGAAATTATCATTTTTTTTCTTTTGAAATTTTCAATTCGAATTAAAAATACCTCTTGATGTATTACTTTTTCTTTTGTTAAATATGAGTATTACTACGAAAGTTATTATACCTATAATGTTTAAAATAAAAAGAACAAGTTGAAAAATTGTTAAACGTGATTTCGTCATTTGTTTTATATTTTTTAAATATACATTTAATAGTTTTTCTTCAGATTTAATTGGTATTTCTGGTACATGTGAACTATTTTGACTATTTTGTTGATTGATTATTACCGGTTTATTTTCAATTGTTATAGATTCATGTGCCTTTGGTATATCTGATGACATAACACGAGAAAAATCTTTCAAAAAAAGACAAAACAAATCGTTATGGCAGTTCTAAATAAAACATACTAATAACAGACATCTTATCTTGAGCGTCATCTTTAGCTGATTCTGATAGAATAGTTTCATCTTCATGTTGTCGTTTGTGATATCGTTGATGTTCTAAAAGAGATATATATTAATCAATAGAATGTTATGTTTCAAATTGACAAACCTTTGAGACGTTTAACTGCATCATAACATCGAAGTCCACCAAAAGCATATATGAGATAATCAAAATCTTGTTCATTAATTCGTTGTTGATCAAAAAGTGATTCAAGAAGATTTAATGTACCACTAAGAGAAGGATCATCTCGTATTTGTCGTGGTATCACATCACCAACAAGAAAATGAAGACGACGTCGATCATCATCTGATAAAGAATCCTGAAGTTTAATTAATAAAGCTCGAAAATCAAATTGTTCATTCATCTATAAAAAGAAAATATATTCTCACACTTAGAATTCTACAATCATCAGATATTGTCTCAAAATTTCTCTCCGAAATCTTAGCATATACTGTATTTGATAGAAGAATCAAATTCTATTTTGTTAAATTGATGTATTTTCTAATGAACTATTATTATTCTTACATTATAAATCAGCAAAATAAAGAATGTCATTGATTTTCAAGGATGTATAAATATACTGGATGGTATATTCATGTCATATTGAATTATTCAGATATTTTTCTATCTTCATAACAACACAAAAGAAAAGAAACGAATCGTCACGCTTCAATATTTATTTTGATTATCGTGAAATAAAAGAAGGACAAATAATAGATAACGTGTAGAATATAATACATTGAATTATGTATAAGACATTTAAAATAAAATTGTATTGTATTTTCTCTCGTTAATTTTATAGTTTGAGAAAGAATTATAAAAACTATTCTCACGAATGAAAAATCTATCTGTATTATGCCGAAGTTCATTGGTTTCAATCACGTTGTTCACGCTATCTAATCATAGGTGAGAAACAGTTTAAGAGTACGCGTTTCCTTTACGGATGTTAAAATCAAAAGTTTTACAATTTTTGGTACACCTTCGAAGCTTTCTCTATTAAATGCTCTATGAATGAAGGCTCTTCATTATTAGTTAATACTTTTATTAAATCCAACTCTCAAAAAACTCGCGCTGTTGACGCCAATTTTGTACCACATTCAATTGGAGAAAAAAATACTGGAAATTTGGTTTTCTTTTTTTTCTTCAAATCAAATTTTGACACAAGAAAAATGCAGAATCGCCTTCATATCTCTGATATAGTCATTTCGATCTATTTGAAATTTTTTTTAGTACACTCAATATTTTAATCTTTTTATTCGAATGCACGGAGATAAAAAGAAATCAGCTCTATCAAAAGAAACTTTTTAAAGCAATTCTTTTCTAAAATAGAAGATATATTTTATTAAATTTTAAAAAATAATTACAAATTTTTCAACAGATCATATCGTTTTTTAATTATTTTTAAAATATTTTCATTGTCAGGTAAATATTTCATATCATATTCAAGTTGTTCAAGTGCACTTAATTCTTCATTTATATCTAATTGATTTTTATGTAAAAAACGTGCTATATGCATATATGTATTTGGTTTAATAAATTGTTTTATTTTTATTTTTATTTTTCCATCAATTGAATTAAATGAATTATTATGTGTTGATATTAAATGAGTTTTAAAATTAAAAAAATGTTTTGTTCGATAATCACATTTATTAAATGGACATAAAAAAAGAGATATTAATCTATCTGTTTCATGTGATCCATGATTATTTTCATCAAGAGTTTTATTAAATGTAGATAATATTTTAAATTGTTCATTATATTCGATACAATTATCATCTTGTTTAATAATCAGATCAAAAGTTTGAAAAATAGAAGCTATTGAATAGATATAATCCATATTATGTGAAAGATGTGAATGAATCGTACATGAACTAACATTGGAAAATGGTTCATAACAAATAGGACATATCTAAAAAAGAAGAAAAAAAAAATCATTATTGCTTATGATCTTAACTTTTTGGTTATTGGGTTTGTATAGAGAAAAACAAAACTACAGGATTATACATGAAACTACGCGAAGAATTCTGCAAGTAGAGAATTTTATGATATTGGTTGAAGTAGTAAATGCAATTCTTTGTTTTATTGTGAGGTATGTAGCCGATTTTTCGGTTTTTATGAAAAAAGTGACATTTTTCGTCATCTTTACGAAAATTTCGTAAGTAAAGAAAAGCTGAACTCTACTTATGTCAGCTTAGTACATAATCTAATCACATCTAAATATCATATATAAGAATAAACCTCGGTTCAATCCTAATCATCAGGACGGAAAAAGCATTGCGTTCCATTCCATTGTGATCAGCAGCAAACAAACATATACTAGGGAAATTTGAGATGATCTCTTTTTTTTTTGGATCGCTGGCTATGGAAGAAACTGAATAGTACATTTTTTTTTTTTGTATAAAATAAAAGTTTAAAAATCGTACTATGCAAATAACTGCCAGATGTCGATTAGCATCGGTGAAGTTGTGAAAAGTCGTGCCCTGTTTTTTTTTATTAAACTCATTTTCAGTCAAACAAATAAAAAGGAATATTAATATTTAATCGATTGATCTTTTTTTTCTTACAATAATTGAATCAAATGTATTTTTATCATATCTATTCATTTGTATACAACTTCGACGAATACAATGATTAAGTATCATTGTTGCACTATCAGTTCGATATTCTGTAGCTGATAAATGTAATTCATTTTCTAAATGTCGAATCATATTATCTTCTAATGCTCGTGTACAATGACATATATCACACATATATACATGAGACCATGATGATGAACTTAATTTTGTATCATCTATTGATATAAAATTCAATGGACATGTTACACAAATATGTTGCAAACCATTTAATAGATCTGTAAAGAGATAAATTTGATTATGTGTAAAAAGAAACTAAATAACCTGTTAAATTTTCTTCAGTATCATATTGAATTTTAGGTAATAAATAAAATTCTTCTGTGGATATTAAATTAGATTTCTTTTTAAAACGATAATAATCACATATATCCGATGTTAATATTCCAAGCTAAATTAATTTTTGTCGAATTGATTCATAATAAAAAAAAAAAGAAAAATACTTTTCGTTTAATAATTATATCTGTATATATTATTGCAGTTTGAAAAAATGTTTCAATTAATTCTTTTCGAAGTTGTTCTAATTCATTTTTAATATTCCATGAAATATTTGTAATTTGTTCATTTGGACGATTCATTACAAATTTATCAATAGAATTTGATTGACGAGTCAAGGGCATTTTAAAATGATCTCAAGAGAAGAAGAAAAATAATGGCGCTGAATCTAGTCAATGTGAAAAAGAATTTCTATGAGAAATTTCTTTTTTTTGTTTTTGAAAAATAAGTCTCATAAATTATCATATTGAAGCATGTTTAAAGATAGAGAATGTCATGTTCTTTAAAACTTTTGATATTGTTTCTCAAACAATTTGTCATTATCAGTAACAAATTTTCGTCCACTTGCAACGATGAAGACAATAAAAAACTGATGACAATTTTTTAATGAAGGTGCTGTTAAAAGTTCTGCAAAATTCGGTATCTTTGAGTGATTGTTTCAAAAATTTAGAACAAATATTTGCAAGGAACAATTTTCGAAGTGAAAAATATGACAAGACCAATTAAAATCCGTATCTAGTGGGACAATGGCATTCTTGTTATAGCAAAATAATAAACACGAGTACTCAGGAATCTTGTAAAGGTCATGATGGTCTAGAGCACAAAAATCACTATCTATGGGTATTCAGTAATTTACTTTTGACATTGGCTTGACAATAAACAATAGACATCAGCAGAGAATAGGAAATTAGAATTGAATGATTTTAATAGACGTGACTCTTTTAAATTTGGGGCTTGTTTGAAAAATAAAGACAACAGTTTTTTTTACAGCTTGAAGCTCTATATTGTTTGGCACATAGAGAGAAATTTTTATACTTAAGGAGTAAGAGAAAAAGACACCAAAATTTTATGTAATTTATTGTGGGACACGTTCGTTAGAAAAAGAAGCTTTATGATATTATGCAAGTTTTGACAGAACAATGATTGAAAAAAAACAAAGACAAAAGAAAATATGTAAAAACATAAAGTGAATAACGTGTGAAGGTTCTTTCGAAAGCATTCTTATATAATGATTTATTTTGTAGAAAACTCTATTTCATATAGACGAAAGATTATCATCATTAGTGTAAAAACACGTAGTTTACTTTTTCTATTAGCTTTTGTATAATCATGCATACAGAGAAGTCTTATCAGAGAACTTAAAACTCTCGTTAGAAAAAATTGATGCCAATTTACATATTTCAACAGAAGTGTTACTATTGATGCCTTTTGTAAAACATAATCAAAAACAAGTGTTGAAGTATAGAGGTAAAAAGTTGCATTCATTATAAACTGTCTCTCTTATTAAATTTCTAGTGAAGAAATGTATCTTAAAATAGATAGAATAAAACAATTAGTCTGTGGTTACCAAAAATCAATTACATCGTATTTCATATGTTCATTTCTTAAAGATTATGTTAACAGTTTTTTTTTAGATTGACATGAGCTACAGAAAGAAAAGACTTCAAAGTTGATCTTAAATATAAGTATTCCTTTCAAAACGAATATTACAATGATTGTTGCTAAATAAATCATTCATTTGGTTTTTCTCTTTATTGATGCTTTCTTTTATGTATACCTTTCCTATATTTGTTCTATAGTAACCAACAAAAATTTTCAGAAAGAACGGCTACAAACAATTGAAAATTCAAAAGAAACGAATGCCTCTGCTTCCAAATGGAAACTAAATATATCTATTCTGTAATTAATGTTTCTGTAAAAGTATTCTTTTATTATCTGTAATAATTCGACTAACATCAAAAGTTCTGATGTTTAAAAGGTTAATATTAAATAAAAAACAATAACAACAACAACAACAACAACAATAAAAATACGGTTTATTGCATAAAAAATATTATCAATTATAATTTTAAACGTTCATTTCTTTGTTGTTCAAGCCAATTAAGATATGTTTTAATTCGTTGAGTTTTTTCTTCATTATTAATTTGATTTTCTTTAAGAATATTTTTACATTGATTTTGTATATTAATCAATGTTTTCGATTTCATTTCATATTGTAATATAATCCAATATAAATGCCATATATTAAATGCTGGCCAATAAACATCAGCAAATATCCATATAGAAAATCGACATTGTAATAACATAAAATCACTTAAACGTAATTCACCTGATGTACGAAGAAATATATCAGGTAAATGACCTGTATGACTTGTTGATACAATTAAACTTTGCATAATTAAATCATCATCAATATCATCAATATGTATTAAATCTTTTTGACAACCTTTAGCTAAATCTTTAATTATATTTGTTATTTCATTTCTTGATGTATAATAAAAACAAACATTTAATACAAAATTTTTATAATGATCAGTTTCATTCATTAAACGATAACTTGATTGTCGAATATCATCAGGTAATAAATCTAAATTACCAATAACACGTATACATATTTGTTGTTCATGAATTTTTTCTAAGGATTTTTCTATTTCTTTTAATTTTAAACGTGCTATATTCATTAATGTATCAATTTCATCTTGTGAACGTTTTAAATTTTCAAGTGAAAATGCATAAACACTTAATTCATTGATACCTAAATCATAACACCATTGACAAACATCAAATAATTTATCAGCACCTAATGTATGACCACGAGAACGTTCAAAATTATGTTCACGTGCAAAACGACGATTACCATCCATAACAATAGCTATATGTTTTGGTCGACTTGTACAACCATAACGAATTATATTACAAGCACAACGTTGTAACCATGTATAATGAAAAGTATTCGAATTATTAACAGAAATAAGAGACATCTAAACAAAAACAAAAAAGAATTTTACCGAAAATTTATGAGAAAAACATATATAAACTAGTTTAATATATTATACGAATGAGTTTTTTTTTAGTTTATCGTAGTACGCAAACAAATATTCATAAAGGTGCAGTTAGATTTTAGCACGTCAGATAGTTAGAACTTGATAAATTACAGACAGTCAATAAAGTTAAATTCTATAGATTTCGCCACATGCCGATAATGTTTTTCTTTTTCGAGATGAACAATAATTTTTGATGTGTTCAAGAGAAGATGAATTTATTAACAGTTAAGCTTATATCATAGGTGACGGAATATTTTGATATTAGAGTAGGCTCAACATTTTTTTAATGAGATCCTCATATAGACGTTAAACAATTAAACCCTCAGTAAATCTTAATCGCAAGCAGCAATCTGAGATTAATAGGTCTTAATACAAAGGATCTATGATGAATACATTGTCTTTTTCCTTAGGATCCAATAATGGCTAAAATTGATGGAAACTAAATCGTTTAATATGAGACTTTTATTATTAACAAGGGCAGTGTTGAGCTGTCGAATGAAGATCTAGCATTATAAAATTTGTTATCTATAAGTAGTGTTTGACATGCTCTAGATTTGTTGTTAAAGTGTGAGACTAAAGGATTAAAGTTTAGGTACTTTTGTATCTGATAGTGGGTTTTTTTCCGACTATTGTATGAGAAACGACGAGTTTTTGAATGTCACTCAGACGAATTACAGCTAGCATTTCTTTTACTGAACACTCATTTTGAAACATATAACAACGGTGCAGCTCAAAAAACACAGATTCTAGTTAATTGAGCTTAGATTTTTCGCACAGTTCTGGTTCCCTTGTAGTGAAGGATTTCTACTTAAATTGATTGACAACATTCGATTTAGTATTACCTCAGGAACAAATCATTGTGATGCGCTGTTGAAATCTAGCAATCTAATCGAAGGAGAAGTGTTTGAGTACACCATAACCTATGCTTATTGGATACGCGTTAGTAGTAAATAAATTGTGCACTGACCTTGTATCAACGCATTATCTGTTATTAAGATGAGCTCAGCCTACCTAGGTCTCGTGGATAAGCTGTCTATGCCTTCTACAAGTTTTTGAATAGCCAGGGAAATACTTCTCGTCATTCATATAAGATATGTTATGAATTGATGAAATCATTGTTTTTCTTCGCAGATTATGTCTTAGACAAAGACCTCAACAATGACAAATCGCTTTTCAAATTGACTTTTATCGCATTATATAAACATTAATGAGACTAGATGGAAATACAGTTTCCACAGATGTATCGTGTCATTTTCAGCTTTTGTCAAATTTGTACTAACAAGCCGTTTTCTCTGTGAAATGCAACTAGATACGAGCATAAATCGATATAGAAAGCTGTAACGATAACAGATCGATCAGACGAATATTTGATTGAGAAACATAGATGTGATAACAATATGACTCATTCATATCAATTCATGCTTCTGTGAAATTGCTTTCTACGAAACAAACTGCCTGTTCTTGCAAAGAATCTTGCCCGATTTGATGATGTATCAAGAACCAAGATGCCATATATATGGTACTCATCGACTTTATGGGTCCCTATAATGATCTAGGAAAACCTTCTGCGAATCTCGTTTTTAATCTCAATTCGAAATTATTATGGATGCTGTTAAGTTTTTTATAACCAATAGTTGTATTGCTGCTGTTTTAAAGTTAAAAAGGGTCATTTCCCATGGACCTAGACTATTTAAATGAACTATATCACATTCCAGTGTGCTTGATTCTCTGCCTCAGAATAATTGAGTATCAACATGAAACTTTCTCAAAAACTACATACTATCGACCTTTATATGTTTCATAGATAACATCTTTTGGAACAGCAAGAACTCATTGTCAATTTACAAGATTCTTCCATAAATAGCTGCTTTTCATATATACAGAAGTTGATGTATTGGAAATGTTAGGATAATATTCACCGATTCGATTAATAAGTTTTATCAACCAATAACTCGTGAAAGATTCCTAATTAATTGACATAAATATATCCTTTATATATGAAAAAAGAAAACATTTTTCACAGTAAGCATAAGATCTTTGTAGATACTTCTAGAGATTCATGCAAAAATCAAAATTGTATCATCGAAATCAAAATCTATGAAAGAAGTAATTAAAAAAAGGGTCTTCTACCTGCAATCCTTTGTCCGTATCCCGCTCCAGGCTCATTGGATCAACAAATTTATTCCATATGTAAAGGATCTGTTCATGTCAATTGATCAAGGATCCTTCACTTATTATTGGTAGATAAGAGTTTTTATTCATATCGCTGAATATTTTCAATAAATCGGCTCCTTTATATAAGGAAAAAAGGCTATTTTAAAGAAGAATCTTGCAAGTTGACAAAGAGTCCCTACTGCTTCGAAAGATGTTATTCATGAAACATGTAAAGATCGATAGTGTGCAGTTTTTGAGAAAGCTTCTCTGGAGAACGTTCCTTTATAACTATAAAACCGTAGAATAAAAATTACCGATTATAATAAATTGTACAATATCCAAAGTCATGTCGAATTGAGTCTAAAAACAAACAGTATATGGGCCCTTAGCCCATGATAATTTGAGGAAAACTGAACTTCTATACAATTCGATGCACCTCAAAAAGCTCTATAAAACCATATATATGATATTCTGGCTCTTGATAGATCAGCAAATGGGCAAGGTCCTTTGACAAAATTGAAAAATGACATGATATGTCTAGTAGTAATAAAGAGTCTAAAAATTAAAAAGTTTGAAACTCTCGTTTTTTGGAACCCAAGCGATGGCAACTAAGATATTGGTACTGAAGATATTCATCGAGGTCATTTACGGATAAAATGCTTTTGAACTCATGTTCACGGAAGTACACTGAAATATATTTCCTCGTAAGCCATTGTAAAAGTGTCACACTTCTTATATAGTTTTTTTTCTATCGGTAGATAGGAATTCTTGAACGAAGTTTGCTGTTTGACATAAAACAATTTTTGATATTGAAATGTGAGACTCATATTTTCACAATGAATCAGACTGAATGAAAATTTTATCGATTCAAAATTCGAACTTGAAAATTGATTTGTCGAAAAATTCACTAATATGTCCACAATTCAAAAAGAAAAATCCATGGACATGGTTTCTGTTAGACTTTGCTTCGTCTTAATAAAGTCATTTCAAACGTGATCTATCTTTTGGCAATATTCCTTTTTTCGATTAGTAGGATAAATTCTTCATTGATCTATTCAAAACATATGAACTCGTATATTTTGATTTAGTCTACTGCACAATTATTTTTCAGTAGTACGAAAAAAAAATATGTTTCGATACAATGTACGATTAGATAATATAAAAGCTGGTTTTTTTTGTTTACTTTTCAGTGAAGTATATGATGCATATCGAAGTGGCCTCATAGAACTGTTCATTTACTGACAAGGCTGTATCTTAAACATAAAAAGCTCTCAACTGTCTTCGTTATTGAATTTTATTTTGTAAATGCTTGTTCATTGTTTTTTCTAGTAGATTTTTTTGTTTCGAAGTACATTATGAAGAAATGTAAATAAATCATGTTGATTGTAACTTCCTTTTTCTTTTGTCTTGTAAGGATATTTAATCGTTAACGTGTATTAAAAAAAGTAAATTTATGGAATAATTAATTCTTTAATTTTAACAATAGTGTATCAAATATTATTTATCTAGAATTTTTTTGTCATCCTATCCTTGAACATGTACATCTATTTGAAAATAATTAACAGTAGACACTCTGGTGAGTTTATTCATTTCGACAGTCGATTTTTATAATAACAAGAAATCCTTCATAAACAAAATTATGTTTATATTTGTCACTCTGTGCTTTTTTTTTCAACCTACATCAAGCCATTTTTTATGTTTTTCGGATGAATAGTAAATCTTATAAGATTCAGCAACAAACATTCATGGTTAATAATATATTTGACGGTAATGAATAAATTTAAATTATTCAATATTAATATTTTTTATCAATTCTAGAAGTTTTTCAATCACGTTATGGCCGAAAGATACTTCAAACTGATTCTTCATCGTCATCATTTGATACTTCTCAACCATCATTCATTGCTCTATTATGTCTAATTTCAATTCTTACACTTGCTTTTGTAATAATTGTTATTATACTTTGTTATCGACATTATTCTCATCAAGAACGGAAATTCAAATGTCAATATAAACCTAGTAATAAATTTAAAAAAAACTTTTCTGTAGAAAATAATCAACAATTAATTGTACCAATAACAATGACACCAACATCGGCATATTCTGTTCGATCAACTGATCAATTATTTTCTATTTATTATGAACCTGATCAAACTTTATCAATTGATAAATTACCATCACGTTGTATACAACAACCAATAATAGATGCTTATTTAAATGATTTAAATTCATTTCAACCATCAAAACTTGATGTTAAACAATTAAAATCATATTTATTTATTGATCTTCATTCAACATCAAGTGAAACATATCCAGATAATATGTCAAAAGAATTTAAGAATAATACAATAACTACTACATATAATAAATCGATTGAAAATGAAAATCAAAGAATTTATTATGAATATCTTAAACAACAAAAACAACGTCGATCAATATTAAAATTAAAACAATCATCTAATCCTCGTTTTATTATGCGTGAACGATCTTTACCAAATAATCTTCATCGACTTCCACAACTTCGTCAAACAAGTAGTATAAAACAACAACAAAGAAATTTATTTCAACACAATAATATAAATAGTAGTACAGCAACTATTATTAATCAAGATCTTCAATCAAATCATGTATCAAATATAACTGATGATTATGATAATAGTCATGCTTATCATGTTAATCAAAATCAAATAATGCAAACAATCAATGAAGAAAAACCATCAAATATTCCACAATATTTTTCTCATACATTTGTTTCTCCTTTTCGTCTTCATTATAATCAAGAACCATGTTGTTTTGAAAAAGTTTCAACTTCACATGGTGATGATAGTGATATTGAATTACCATATCAATCTTTTCCTACTCTAGGTAAAGGAATCACCTATATTAATGATTCAATTCTTGTATAAAACAAAACAAAACATAAACGCTTTTTTTTTGCCTTAATACTCAAAAATTATAAGATAAAATAAAGATGATTTAAAAAAAAAAAAAAGATGAAATTTAAAATTTCACACCAATGACTATTAAGATGGGTAAGACTTTAAAATATCGAGAGATTAACTGAATATAATAATAGGATGCACTTTAGAAATGTTATTTTGAAAATTATTTGATAGCTCGAAATCGTATGGCATCAAAAACTTCATCAATATAATGAATATATCGTTGTCCAATAAATAATAAAGCTCCACTAATTGATAAACCAATTCCTAAACGAAGAGTTTCTTTATCAGGAAAAATTGAACGAATAATTGTCATAATTAAAACTGTACCAAAGTTAAACATTGCTGAACCGTACATACTAAATCCAAAAACAAAAATTATTCATAATAATTTGCAAAAATATTCTTATTTGTTGAATTATCTTACCTATATAATAAACGTTCAAATGTATGAATACTTCGTAAATGTTTAGAAGTATATAGATACATAGTAATACCAATATGAGACCCAAACCAAAGTATATTGGTTAAAGGTAAATCGACACGAGTGCCAAGAAGTCTGTTAATAGGAATAAGATGAAAAAAAATATATATATCTATATAGTTTGTTAATAAAATATCAAACCGAGGAAACGATTTTGGTGCAAGTACATGTGCTGAAAATCCGAAGAAGAATGGTGTTGTTAGAAAAGGTCTATATTTTGCAAATAAAAGTTGTCGACGAGCACTAGGAAGCGGTGGTTCTGACATTTTTTTTTTTGGAAACTTGTTTACAAAATCAAGTTTTTATTGTTTGTGTTCTATTTCTTTCAATGTTAAGGCGCCGCCACTGGTCTATTCATAGATTTTTATCGTAGAGACAACTGGATCAATGATCTTCCAATCGTCATTTTTTCCTTTCTCTTTCTTTCTTCGTTCTTCCGCCCTCTGTACGAAGGATTTAACATTTTTTTTTTCGGATAAGTTGTTATTTATCTCTTGTGTTTTTTATTTTAATGAAAAAAACAAAAACGAATCGAAAAAAATTCAAAAATTCAATTTTTCGATTTGATTTTTTTTTCTTTTTGAAAGTTTTTCCATTTACTTCTTTTTTTCAATAAGTTTCAATTGTGATGTTCAATGAAGTTTGTTTAATAAACGATATACATATAGTATATATAAAAGATAAATTATTCGAGATCTAAAGATTTTAGCAGACTAGTAACTATGATTATATTCGCGTTTCTTCTCTCTTCTTTTCTTTTCTTGTCGACAGTAAGAGGTCAATCGTTTTGTTGAAATAGGCGTCGTTTGTAGTCGGCGTTCGACACGGCATGTTCTCTTTTGCGTTCTTCTCTCCTCCCATCACCATCCATTTTCCATCTTGCGAGAGTATAAGCAAGTAAACGAGCCAGCCAATTCAGAGTGCACATGATCGTAGTTCGCTTTTGTATCCATCGAGAAGAGTATCGTTATTAGATAATCTATTCATTGTTATCTATATAAATATATAATGAACTGGATTATATCTATCTTTAAATATCTCAAAGACTTTTGTTTAATTTTTTTTTTTTTAATACAAGATAAAAAGTAAGAAGGATTTTATTTAATGAACAATAGGAAGAATATTAATTGAGAATTTATATCCTCGTTTAAACAAGGTTTAAGACTCGAATCTAATTAATTGAAAAATGGGAATCATTGTCGACCAATTGTTAGTTTTTTTTTCATTTCCTTTTCATGATATATATATATATATATATATGTATATGTACAATCGATGTTCATAGTCTATATTTGTCCTGTATACTTTCTTCTTTTTTTTCTTTTTTTTTTTGCACGCTTGAGGAAACAAATCATCACATTTCTCTGCACGGAGTCGCTCGCATATTCAACGAGTCTCTTACATTCGTCATCGTATTCTGTTTCTTCACTCGACTATTCTCTATTTAGACTTCTGTCTACGTCGATCTTTTTCTGTGTTTGCCTCTATGCGTAGGTGTATGTGAATGTTGGCTTCTTTATTGCCATCATCACAAAACTACTTTCTTTTTTTTAAACGCTATAAGGTATGTATGTGTGTATGCGTTTGTTGTTAAGAAATTTGAGTTTTTCATGAAGTTCAAATTGAATCATCGATGATGGTGAGATGTTTATAATGTCCTTTTTTTTGTTCTTCTTATTCCTTGCTTTCTGTAGTAGAGCCAAATACCTTCGGTCGTCAGTAAACAAGAAACTCGGGTCTGACCGAGGCGGCGGCGGCAATGACGACGGAAAGAGAGAGAGAGGAAAGAAAGAACGAAATTCCGTATTGAGGGATGATAGAAGGAGATGAAGGGTTGCTTACCCTCCTTAGCTGACTGGTAGTGGCCCCGTAAAGTTTTACCCTTCTTGTTTGCTCTCCTACTGTTGCTGTATTGCACACACGCTCACAATACAGGTACAGTCACACGGTTACGATATTATCTTTTAAAAAAAAAAAAGAAAAAGATGAAATCTATTCGTATATAAAATTTTCTTCAATATCGTAACTCTTGACGTATTTTTAGATATATCATGATACGTCATTTTTTATTCAAACCTTCAACTAATCAAATTTCTATACGTTCAATCCATATATGGTATGTATTAAAATAATAATTAGTTTTGTTTTCATATAAACAAATACGTACACACAATAAAAAAAAAAGAAAACAAACAGATTATTTTTTATTTAAATAAATATTCAACAACGAAAAGAATTTCAGATAAAAAAAATAAAATACTATTATGTCGAATAAACGACCTTTATCACCGGAATCAACTAATAGTCAAATAACTGATAATAATATACGTTCATTAAAACGTTTAAAACTTCATTCACTTATACAAGAATTACGAAATGAAGAAGCTAATTTAGTTATATTGAAAAAACTACGTTCATGTCAACAATTAGCAACACGAACAAATAATACTGCATCATCAACTAATACCACTACCACAACGACAACAACAACAACAACAACAGCAAAGACAAATGGTTTTCATCCAACAGCAACACGTATTCCAACAACTACTAAATCTACAATACCTAATACTTCATTGCCACATTCATCATCACGTACATCTCTTCAACAATCATTGACATCAGCTACACGAAAATCATCCAATCCAATAAATCCACCATTACCAACTAAAATTCCTACACCTTTACCAACAAAAACACCTTCATCATCAACAATTTATTCACTTGAAGAACGTAAAACTCAAGCGAAAAAAGCTTTACGTACACAACTTGAACGTGATTTATTAAATATTCCATCACCTAAACCTTTATTAAGAGATATATTATTTATACCAAATCCAACTAGTCTTGAATTTCAACCATATATTGGTCTTGAAGATGTTGTACAATGTTTATATGAATTACAAACTGATCGTCAACGTTTACCACAACGTTTTACTGATCGTGCACATATTGATGAACCATATATATGTGATCATTGTGGTACAGATTTTACAATACGTTGGTGGAAACATATAAATACAAATCAACAAACAAATATATTATGTGATCGTTGTAAAAAACAAGTTATACGACGTACATCAAAATCTGAACATTCAACATTATTAAAAAATGTTTTTGTATCAGCTATGGAACAAGAAAAAGAAATTGAAAAAACTTTTCAAACACTTATTAAACAGCAACAACAACAACAACAACAACAAAAAAGTGTATCACGTTCATCATCATCATCATCAAATTTATCATCAGCAACAACAAAATCAATTACAAATAATAATACTAATCGTCCAATGCCATCTCCAATAGCAACTATTCCATCATATAATCATCATCATCATCATCATCATCAACAACAAAAAACCAAAACAAAAATATCTTTACCACAAACACAAAATTTTGCAACGAAAATTTCTCAACAATCAACATCATTAACAAATGCAACACGAAAATCAAATGCTATTGTTCAATCACAAATGAATTCAACAAATAATAATATTCGATCATTATCACATAATAAAATACCTATGCCTGCTCATCAACAACAACAATTTCGTTCAGCAACTGCTTTATCACAACATACAAAAACTAATCAATTAGTTAAACCACCTAAAACTGCTGTACGACAACAACAACAAGTTGTACCATCTCGTCCTATATATCATCAACCAACAAATGCTATTATTTCATCTTCAACTATTCATCCACCAATACCATCATCAGCTAATTTAAGACCAACAGCAACTAAACGACGAACACTTCCTACAGTTAATATGAAATAAATAGAAAAACAAAAAAATAAATTAATAATTATATTTATGCATATGCATGATCTCAAACATTGACAACATGTTTTTCTCTAGGATAATTTGTACTTTTTTTTTTCTTCTTTCTTTCTTTCTTTCTTTCTTTTTTTCTGCTTATGTGTGTCTATGTATCTTTTGTGGTGCAAAAAAGAATAATCTTATGTATTAAAAAAAAAAAAAGAAACAACTTGATAAAGGTTGAGTTATGTGATACTTATGTATATATGTTTCTATTAGGAATGGCACGAAAAAAGCTTTAGTATTCGTGGCTAATGGTTCCGAAGATACTGAAGTAGTGGCTACGGTCGATGTGTTACGACGAGGTGGCGTTGATGTAAAATTATGTAGTGTTGAAAAAAATGATAAAAAACCAATAACATGTGCTAATAATATACAACTAGTACCTGATTTACATATAGACGATGTTCAAGGACAACAATTTGATGCTGTTATTGTACCTGGAGGTATGTTTGATCTACCTTAATCATGAATAATAAAATTCTATGCTTTGATTTATTTATTTTTTTTATTTAGGTAGTAAAGGTACAGAACAGATAGCATCATGTAAAAAAGCGGGTGCTCTTCTTATTAATCATTATAAAACAAATAAATTGGTTGCAGCTATTTGTGCTGGTCCCATAGCATTATCTACACATTTATATGATGCCGATGAAAATGCACGTAAACATAATATAACATGTTATCCTGAGACAGTTAATACACTTAAAAATAAATTTAAATCAGTTAAATTCGATGCACCTGTTGTTTATAGTGAAATTAATAATCATCATTTAATCACTAGTCAAGGACCAGCAACAGCAATTGAATTTGCTTTGAAAATATTGACTCATTTAACTGATGCAAGAAAAGCTGAGGAAATTCGTAAACAATTGCTTGCTTAAAATTTCATCATCTTATGTTTTTTTTCCTTCAATCATATATAAATAGACTTGCGTCCTGTATTTTTTATCTAATCAAGCAAATAAACGAATTTTTTCTGTTTTTTTTCTTCTTTTTGTTCGTTTCTTTTTTCAGAATACAATGTCATCAAATCGTTATGATATTGATGATGAAATATATATAACTGATCTATTAACAAATGAAGATATTCCTTCACTTGTTAAATGGCTTAATAATCCAACAATATATGCTAATACACTGGCAATACCATATCCATATTCAACAAATGATGGTGAAAATTTTATTAAACATGTAAAATCGGAATCATTAAATTCAACACGTATTTTTACTGTTCGTTTACAGATAAATAACGAATTGATAGGTGCATGTGGTTTACATCGTTCGGTTAAAAATGAAAGGATAACAGAAATTGGATACTGGTTAAGTGAACCATATTGGCATCGTGGTTTAATGTCTAAAATTGTAAAGAAAGTAATTGAAATAGCAAAAACTGAATGGAAAAATTGGGCACGAATTGAAGCAACAATATTTCATTGGAATAAACGATCAATGCGCGTTGTAGAAAAATGTGGTTTTGTATTTGAAGGAGTCTTACATAAATATGTACATAAAAATGGACAAGATATTGATGTGCATATGTATGCATTAATTATTGAATAATTGCAATAAAATTCATTGATTTTTATGATTATTTTTAATAATATTATTTTTCTTCTAGATAGATTCTTTTTTTTTGCTCTCTTGCCAAATTGCTTTAAAGAAATAAAAAAATGTTTTTTTGTAAGTTCAATTATATTCAAAATAGTATTTGATCTAAATATAGATGATTTCCTCTTTATTCTATTCTATATTTCACTAGAGAAAATGATAATCAATAGAAGAGAGATAGTTAATTATTATTTTTTTTATTCAACAAAAAGAAAAAACATCTAGAGATTCAAAAGGAAGTAAATAATTTAACAAGGTCATTGACAAGTCTAATAATAATGTTAATTTAACGCAAAAAGAAAAAATAATAATAATGACAGAGATAAAACTATTGTTAATATTCTATTAATCGAATCATAAATTCTAATGATAGTATATTTCATATTAGTTTAGAAGAATAATTGACATCAATGACATTTTTTTGTCATCTCGAAGAGAGATGTAATAGATAATAAGTTAAAAGACAAGAAAATATCATAAAAACTTACTGATATATTGAATAAATCTAGAATGTTATTCATTATTATCTATTTTATCTAAGAACAAATCCAATTTAGGAAATTTTTTATGTAGTTTCTGTTTTCTTCTTTTCTTTTCTCCGGAATAATAAATCCTTGTTGAATTTCTCTCTAAAGATATACTTAAATAGAGAGTCTCATATTAGAAATATTCTCATGTAAGTAAAACAATTATTTATATGTATCATAAAAGTTTATTATTATCTTTAGAAAAAGAAAAAGAAACATTCTTTTCTTGTTTCTATTTATTTAATCTTTGACGTTGAATTAAGTTTGATTGATTCAACAAAAAAAAAAAAAAAATCTGAAATAATATTTATTTCCTATAAAAATTGTTCATCGAATACAAGCAGAGATCGACAGGAGATTTTTGATCAAATTTGACTTGAGAAGCTTGAGTACTTTTTTTTTTTTTGGAAATCAATAAACAAAAAATTTCTAAGATTAAATGTCATCTGAATCCTTCTTAATTCAATAATATTTTTATTTAGGTCCTCGTTGTGGTAATATGCTATTTGTCGAACAAGGTGATCGATGCAATCGATTAGCATGTAATACATGTCCATATATATGTGATATTGTAACTAAAATAACCGATCGACAATATACAAGTTTAAAAGCAGTTGAAGATGTTCTTGGTGGTACAGCATCAATGGAAAATGTTGATAAAACAGAAATAACATGTCCAAAATGTGCTTATACAAAAGCATATTTTATGCAAATGCAAACACGTTCAGCTGATGAACCTATGACAGTATTTTATAAATGTGTACAATGTGGTCATCGTTGGAATGATTAAAATGAAAAAGAATATAAATATTATTAATAAAAGAAATAATAGATGTCACTAATTGTAAGAATTTATTCATTTATTATTAGTCGATTCGTCATATCAAAATAAACAAAAAAGAGAAAAAAATTATCTTATGTCAACTAATGTTCCTTTTTTTTTTTTTTTCGTTTTTTGTTTATTAAGAAATTTTAGAATAGATAAAAAAAAAAACAATATAAAGGTTAACATAGAAATTTAATTGGTTAAAATAATTCCGCTCGTTTAATTGAACATATATCGTGTGTGTGCGAGAGAGACAGAGAGAAAGAGAAGAAAAAAAAAAAGCAAGAGAGAGCAACATCTGACATTGTCAGTTAATTTGTTCGTCTATTTACTTTCCAGATAATCCATACGAAACATATTCATACATCCAATATATGACATACAATAATTTTTATCTATAATTTTAAATCGAATATTATTCTTCCATGGGAAATCGTAATAGTGGTTCACGTCGAAAACAACGCGATAATGCATATTCATATTCAGATAATCCTCGAGATGGTTCTATAGCAAGTAAAAATAGTGGAAGTATAAATCGAAAACAAAATCAACCACAAACACCAATTATACATCAATATACAGATGGTTATGGAGGAAATTTAGGAATACAAACACCTAATAATTATAATAAAAATAATTCAAGTAAAATTATTTATTTATTTATTATGTTAATTGATTTTCTTTTCTTCTTTTTTTGTTTTCAAGATAAATTAATTTATGTAGCTAATTATGATTTTAATGGTACATCAACAACTGGTGAATTAAGTTTTCGTAAAGGTGATAGATTAGAAATTCTTGATAGATATTCGTAAGTAATCTGTATTTTTTTGCTTTCAATGATATACATATTAAAAAAAACAATAATTTTCATTTCCACGTTTTTTTTTTTTCTATAGTTTTAATGATTGGTGGCAAGCGAAAAATTTACGAACAAAATTAAGTGGTTATGTACCAGCAAATTATATATCAGCTATCAATGATTTAACAGCATGCGAGTAAGTTAGAAAAATCTTAATGATTATCGAATAATATATTATATTTAGATGGTATTTTACTGAAACAAATCGTCGTGATGCTGAAAGATTTCTTGAACAACCACATAATGGAAAAGGAACTTTTTTGATTCGACCTTCGGATACTAATCAAGGTATATATTTTCATGGAATATATTTTCAATAATTTGATTCTCATATATATATTTTTTTTTTTTCGTCTTCTTCTATAGGTCAAGAATCATTATCTGTACTCGATTTAAGTAAAGATAAACATTTTCATGTAAAACATTATCGTATACGTCGAACTGATCAAGGATCATATTATATTAGTAGTAAAAATGTTTTTCCAACATTACAAGATCTTGTTGATCATTATCGAAGTAAAGAATTACACATTTTTTTTTATTATTTATATAAAAATATATATTTTGTTTTTTTTATAGCAAATGCTGATGGTCTTTGTTGTTTATTAACACGTCCATGTCGAAAAATTGAGCCAACTGTTCCAGCTGATCGACATGGTCTATTAGAATTAGATCGTTTACAACTTCAACGTACAGAATTACTTGGTCGTGGAAATTATGGTGAAGTTTATAAAGGTAAATATGGACAACGTGATGTTGCAATTAAATGTATGAAAATGGATAATAAAAATCGTATGTGTAATGTTGATAAATTTCTTGATGAAGCAAAAATAATGAAAGATTTATTACATAAAAATATTGTACGTCTATATGGTGTATGTACACAAGAAGAACCAATATTTATTGTTACAGAATATATGACACATGGATGTTTATTAAATTATTTACGTGATGGACCAGGAAAAAATTTAAAATTTAAAACTATACTTGATTTTGCTGCACAAGTAAATAAAAAGAAAATATCTTTCGATAAAACACAAAAAAACAAAAAAAAAATTTTGTTTTTTTTAGATTGCTAAAGGTATGGCTTATCTCGAACAAAAACGATATGTTCATTGTGATTTAGCTGGTAAAATTTCTATAAAACAAAAAAATAATAAATAAATTTTTTGGTTTTTCTTGTTTTTCTAAGCTCGAAATATTCTTGTTGGAGAATTAGATGTTGTAAAAATAGCTGATTTTGGTTTAGCAAAAATTCTTCAAGGTGGTCGTTTAATGGTTGATAGAGAATCACAATTTCCTATTAAATGGACAGCACCAGAAGCAGCAACAAAAAAAGAATATACAACTAAATCTGATGTATGGAGTTTTGGTATACTTCTATATGAATTAATTACACATGGTTCAAATCCATATCCTGGAATGTCAAATAATGAAGCATTACAAGGAGTACTGAATAATTATCGAATGCCGAAAGTAAGAAATTTTTTTTGTTTTGAAATACTTATCTTTTTTTATTATAATCATATTTTTTAGCCACATGATTGTCATGAACATTATTATCAAATAATGTGTTCCTGTTGGCAAGATAATCCAGATAATCGACCTACATTTGAAACACTTTATATGCGTTTTGATGAATTTATGATACAAGCTGAACCAAGTTACCGAGAGGTAAATTTTAAATCAGATCGATATATTATTTGAGGTTGTAAAAACATTTTCAACGCATTTTTTGTTTTATTTCAAATGAAATAAGATAAAGTCATTCGTTATCAAGACATGTGCATCATTCATAAAGAAAGATATATAATTTTATTGTTATATAGTTATTTGACAGATGTATTTTACATACGATATACATATGTGATTGTTGTTGTTGTTGTTGATATTATTACACAGAAAATTAATGTTACTCAGTTTGTTATCTGTTATTTGTATGAGAAACAGATTTTTATACAATCATCTATAAATTAGTTCATTTTTAGAAAATATGATCGATTATGATTAACTAATGATTCACAATGCATGACAACTATTTTTATTTTTTATTACTGAATATATGTTTTATTCAAAAATTGAGTATGATATATGAAAAAGATAAATTCTATGTGATCGATATTCGATACTGTGAATAAGATTATGTTTCGTAAATGATCAATTCATTTTCGTTAACAGAAGATAGTTCTATTTACTGATGAAAAATATTTTTCATTAGAATATGTTTCTATTGCAAATCCATAGAAAGCAGATGAAACGACCTACGCATAAACCAAAAGGTTAAATATCCAAGAAGTATTATCATATAATTAAAGTATATCTAATAATCGACTTACATCTTCTATTATACTTAAGTTGATGAAACCTTATCACATGAAAATTATATTGAAGTTGTCCTCCTACATGTGCAATATGAAGGTTAACGACTCCTTGACAGCAATCTCATCTATCAACAAGAAAACGTTACGTTACGTATACATCAAGAATCATTGGCATGGTGTGAAAAAAGAATTTCATGCATTCTATAATCAATCACAGATGGCTACCGAACACTTCTGATCTTTAATATTTCAGGATTATTATATGTAGGAATCCATATGCTATTGAAATAATATATAAATCTCTGATCTTTTTTTTTATAGATGAAATAAGAAAAGGAATTTTGTAGTTTACAAAATAAAGATGATCTTGTATGCAGTGTCAAAAATTGTTTACATAGAAGCAGATTTCTGATCTATTATGTTGCTTTTAATTAAAGAAGATTAGCTAAATTGATATTTGTTGTTTGAGATAGTATTAGGTTTATAGGAAGATTTCGTTAAGACCGTTTTTTCTGAAATTTCGATTTTAAATATTGCCGATCAATAAGCTTGATGAGTCTATGAATGTTCTTTTACTTGTAAATTCAATATTTTGACAAAGGAATATTCTCAGAGTTATTAGATCTATTTTATGAAAGAAATTTCAGGTAAATATCTACAGCTAGATCAAAAATTCAATAAAACAATCATGACAAGGCTCATGAGCACAAACTCTTGAAGAATTTTTCTAGTCTTACTGAAACTTCCGGAATATTAACTCAAGCAGCGAGTATCCGTTCAGTCTTATTATGTCGTTGTTTAGTAATGTTATAATATAGAGTTTTCGTATTCTGAATAAAATTCAACAATTTATAGCCTATTCAATGATATCTGTCTTTCTATTTAGACATAATTTATTTGTAATGACAACCTGTGTTTTCGAATCTATCAGATACATCCACAAGAACAAAGTTAATAGCTTGCCGACATGCCTTATGAGTTCTTTTTCTACTATACTATTCTTATTCACTTCCGTACATATATATCTATATCTTCATTATTTGCTTCTTGTTTTTTGCTTTTGTGCCTGTTTTCTTTTTTCTATATGTATATCTTACATTTAATTCCATCTTATTTTCTTTTTTTTTTTTCTTCTTTTGATATCAACAGTGAACACTCGTCTTTTTTTCTTTGTTCTTAATTCATGCAATGAAAATAATACTCTTAACAACTTGATAGTTTTGTTACTACGCAAATTTATCTATTCGTTTATCTTTTGCACATTTCTATACTTGTATCGAACAGTCCACTTGTATCGAAATATCGAATAAAAGACAAACGATTGTGTGTATGTATCTTTCTAATGATGATAGAGATCGTGGTTCTTTTTTTTTTCTTGTTTTCATTGAATTTTTTTTTCTCTTATTCTTCTTGTCTGTATGTCATAAATTACAAAATATTGAATGTGTGCAATTGTTCTGTATGTGTGTTTGTTGTTGTTAGTTTTGTTTTTCTACACATCATCCATCCATTTGAATACACATCAAATTGAAAAGAAAAGAAAAAAACAAAACAAAACAAGATCCTTAATAATCTTTTATAGATATGATTATTGATCTTTTGTATTGTGTAAAAATCCTCCTCTTTTTTTTTTTACGTAAATGAAATCCTTGTGAATAATGATAATTGTTGACGAAATAGAATGTAAGAAAGAAAAAAAAAAAAGTTGGAAAATTATGATAGATTTCAATGCGTCTTATCTTAATTTGCTATGTGTCGTATAGTGAAATAATGTCCCAAAAAAAATTGATGGCTAATTTTTCGACTTTTCTAATCTTTAGATTTCAAGTTATTATTTATTTCTCGTGTTGACATATGGCGTATGTGTCTTTTTTTTATGCGATCTCATAGATACCAAATGATATTACCATTTAGATGTTCTATCGTATAATCGTAAAAATCAGTTTTGATAGTAAATAATATTCAAATGAGTTTAATGTGAAATTTTCTAAATAAATTTGTTTTTGTTTATTTTAAAAAAAAAAAAGATTAAACTCGGTTATATGAATTTTCTTGATTTCCGTCTTATTTTTTTTCTTTTTTTTGAAAATGAACTGATGACTAGATTGTCTGTATGTAAATAATATTTATTTTTTTTTATGATGTAGCAGCTAGCATTTCTGATGCAGTCGTAAAACGTGAAGTACTTCGTGGTTGACTGATATTTTTCGTTAATATTGGCATTTCAACAACAGTTGTTTGTTTTTGTGGAATAGACGATTTTGATGTTGATGGACGACGAAATACAGTCTATAATAATACAATATTTATATTATTGTCTATTGGAGTCATTTTAGAATGTTGTGAAAGATCTGATGCAGTGTATAAAGTGATATGTTCCTTCTGATGTGATGGAGATACAGGTGATAATGGTGCATTATTTAATGTGTTTAAACTTCGTACAGGTACAAGTACCTCTGAACCTAATGTTGATCTATGTTCAGCTCGACCTGGTGTCCATGCAACTGATTGTGGTGGAGGTCGATAAGCAAGTGTTGTACCTCTTACAATACGTTTTCTCATTTCACGTAAATCAAATGATGTTTGTAATGGAGATTGTTGATCTTTTAATATAGCAGCAGTTGCTGCAGTTGGAGGTGGTTGTCGAATACCTTGTTTTGCTCGTGCAGCATTTATTTCATATCGAGCATAAGCTTGAGCAAGATTATAAGAAATTAATGGCTTTTGTAATGCATTACCATCATTATCATTACCATTTCCAATGCCTGGTAATCTTTGACTTTCTTTATATGCTAAACCTTTATAAACAAATTTTGATTTTGGAACAGGTCGAATATTTGGTAATACTTGTCGATTATAACCTGTCGGATCTTGTAATGTTTGTTCTTGTTGTAAAGCTTGTAAATCTTCCATAACATGTCGACTTCGTTTTGAAATTGGTTTTGTTTGAATGGGTGCACAAGTAACAACTGATTGCCACATTTGAATTGATTCTTGTTTGTTATCTTCTTTATCACTAAATGTCACTGATGGAGGATATCTTAATTCGTTACTACTTATTATTGATTTGGCATTTGAATTTATTCCTACTTGTGATGTTTTCTTTATTAGTGAACGTTCGTTATAATTTCTTTCTGTGATATAATGATTTATGTGTATAATAGGCTTTTTAAATTTATATTCGGATAAAATTGTATTTGGTCGTTCAGTTTCTGTTTTTCTTATTAATGGAACACTTTGAATTTCGGTTGATTTTAGAGAATCTATTGATGGAATAAAATGTTGATTTTCAAATTGACGTACGTGAATTGGTGAAAAATAAACGTGTCCGTTATAACCTCGCCAAACCTATAACATAGAATATTTTACTTCTATAGTTTATGAATTAACAGATTTTTTTTTCTCTAAATCATAAAAAATATAAATAATAAAAAATCTTCTCAATTCGACTATATATTGATAAATGTGTTATAATCAAAATGATGATATTTTTACGAAATGATTGTCATTAGAAATGAAGATGAAGAAAAAAAATTTAAAAATATCTGACTGTTTAAGTTAAACAAGAAATATAAATGTACATATTTGAAATAAAAAAGTTTTCGCCTATTTTATGTAAACAAAAAAAATCACAAGTAAAAAACAAACGACACTATTTCGCTAAATGACAATGTCTCCTTTTTTTTTTGCTTTGATTGAAATCTATGTATGCATTAAAAAAATAAAAAAGAAAGGCTTGTGTGTATGTTGTTGAGCATAGTCACAAATTGTGCTACACTCGAATACAAATTGATTTCTTTTTCGCACTACTTAATATTTCATTCATCATAACATAGAAATTAAGTTAAGCAAAGAAAAACATGATGAAAAACAACTGTAATACTAACTCGAAGAGGTTCTAATGGAACAGGACGAGTTTGTTCAAGATAATAAAATTGAGGTTGTAGAAAACCAAAGCCTGGTGGTGGATCACGCGATCCAAATACAGTTGCAACATCATGATCTAGTTTACTTTGACGAGGAGTTTTCAATGTTTGTCGAACTATTGCAGCATAATTATAAACTGCTTTTGGAATAGTTATTTGTGTTTGATCATCAATAATTGATGATGATGATTCATTCATGGGTCTATTAAAGAAAGCAATAACGATAGTACGATTCTTTTTTTTTTTCTTGTACGAAAATAAAACTCTTTCTCTCTTACGTAGTGTTTTCAATACCATCAGTACTTTCCATATTTGGTATTGAAAGTGATGATGTATCTTGATCTTCTCTTTTATTTGAAATTTTATCATTTCTTATTGATGCATCATCTGAATCATTTGATGATTGAACATCAATATCCATATCATCATCATCATCATCATCATCATTTAAAGTAAATGATGTGGCGACTTGTGTGTCATTTGGTAATGTTGTAATAAAAATTTCTTTATTATTTTCATTCATTCTAGATAGATATAAAAAATTTCAAAAAAATTCTATTCCTTTTTTCTTTTTGTTACTTACATCGTCGATAAGATCAAATTCGTTAATATGTTGCATTAAAATTGAAAAAACGAACGTTTTGTGTGTATTTATTTTTACTTTAAATAACAATCCTTAAAGCAGGAAAAAAAACTTTTGTAACGTTTACTTAAAGTTTGTTTTTAATGCTTCTCTTTAACATACTTTTGCAATTAAATAGAAAAAGAAAACATAGATAATGATGAAAGTACCTCTTCATATACCTGTTCTACTTGACCATGTTCTAAAAATTTTATGTCATAATGGAAAACAAGTAGGTCTTCTCAAAAAAAAAAAGAAAAGTTTATATAAAAGATAAAATGTTTAAAATAAATATTAGATGTTCTTGGATTTAACATTTGGTGCAGGTGGTCATACAAGAGGTCTTTTAAATCGAAATGAAAAATCAATAGTTTATGCTCTTGATCGTGATCAAAACGCCATTGAATTAGCTCATGAAATGGCTAAAGAATATCCGTGTGAGAAAAAAAAAGAAATTTTTTCCAAATTTTTCATAGTAGAAAACTAAATTAAATATTTATTTTTTTTTTTTTGGAAAAATAGAAATCGATTATTTCCATTTCATGGTCAATTTAGTGAATTGAAACAAATATTTAAAAATAAAGAAAATTTTTTTGATGGAATTCTATTAGATGCTGGTACAAGGTAATACAAAGTGAAAACCATCAAAACACACAAAAAAAATGAAACTGTGTTTTAATATTTTTAGTACAATGCAATTAAATGATTCAAAACGTGGTTTTAGTTTTCGACATGAAGGTCCATTAGATATGAGAATGAATAATAAATCAAAATCAATAAGTGCTTATGATCTTGTTAATAAATTAGATGAACCAACATTAAGTCGAATTATTCGTTTATATGGTGAAGATCAACGTCATCGAAAAATTGCTCGATGTATTTATCAATGGCGTTCTACATTTGGTCCAATTACAACAACAACACAATTGGCCAATATAATTAAAATAGGTCTAGGTGGAAGGTAAAAAGCTTTTTTTTTTGATATTGAGTTCTTATTTGGATAAAATTCATTTATTTTCCTTGTATTTTAGTGCATCAGATGTTGATAAACTAAATCGTCCAATTCATCCAGCAACAAAAACATTTCAAGCATTAAGAATTGTGGTTAATGATGAACTTAATGAACTATATAATGGTCTTGAACAAGCTTATACGTAAGTGACATATGAATTGTTTTTCGAGTTCTTGACCTACTATTGAAGAGTTATATATAGTTGTTGTCATGAAATTTTTGAAAAACTTAAAACCAAGAGTTTCAATCTAGAATTATATCTATAGCTACATTTGATAGCCATTAGGTAGACCAGAAAATTTCAATGAAAACGAACATGCTTTTCTTTGCTACTTAATTGATTAGTATTTGAAGATATCTCAGTACACTATGTTCTTCTTTAAAATCTTCAATCAAATTTTTCGATTTTATTATATGATTTATGCACTATTCTTAAAATATTATTGATCATTGATATTCTATATTACTTAGGAGACAAATGAACTAACGAAAAAACCTATCCATTTGTTAAATCGCTTTTTGACGCATACAATTTTCATTTGATATGTAATAGAAAATGGGACTTCCTTGAGTCACTTTTTCTAATACATTGAACAAAGATGTGAGTTTGGATGTGTGGCGTGCCTTTGCTCATACCCACACCGTATACGATAAAAAAAAACAATATTTTACATGTTAGATAAACTTCTATTAATGATGTTAATTGAAATCAATTGTTTAATAATAACAATTTTCTATACAAGAGAATGACGTACTTATTTATAATCTATATTATTTTAGATTACTCAAACCAGGTGGTATATTATTATGTATTAGTTTTCATTCATTAGAAGATCGTATAATAAAACGTCATTTTCAAGGTATTGTTTTACATTCTGATGAATTTTTATCAAATCTCGATGACAAATCATTATATACTCAAGCTGAAAAACAAATACGATATGATATGCAAACAAAACATATTATTGAAGCTGATGATAATGAACTTGATGAAAATCCCAAATCTCGATCAGCTAAATTAAGATATGGAATAAAACTTTGATTGTTGTTTTTTTTTACATTTATACATATATAGAGAGAGAGAGAAAGAAATAAAATATTTTATTTTATTTTGTTTCAATCATAACCAAGTACTACAGTTCGTACACGTTTTTTATATTGAGGATCATAACGTGTTTGTAAATTTTCAATTTCTTTTCCCAATGGATTTTGTAATTGCCGACCATAATCATGACCACGAGAATTAGGAATCTTTAAAAGAAAAAAAAAAAAGAAAAACTTGATAAAAGAAAAAACATTTACAAACCGTATTAGAAAAACGTGTAGAATTTTCTAATGTACGTTTACTTGGGTTAAAATTTCCCTTAAAAAAAATTAAATATATTCTTTTATTTTAATCTTCGTTTTTTTTCTTCAATTGAAAGTAATACTTTAGAATCATAATCAGCCATCCATCCATACATATGTTCCCATTGTTTTCTCGTAGATGCTTCTTTAGAAATACTTTCAATCCACATTTGTGCTAAAGTCCATGGTTGAGATACAACAGCATTTGGTTTTTTTGAAGGATGAAAAGCAATAGCTGGAGTTGTTGAACGTGTAGTAGATGATGGTATAACTGATTCAGTACGATCTCTGGAATTCATAAAATAAAAATTTCAAAAAACAAAAATTCTTTTTACCCTTTTCGACGTATATTCGCCATGACTATGACGCAGTCAAGTACTGTTAATCTGTTTGTTGTCAAATCAATTCTAACGTGTAGTTGCTTTATGTATGTTAATCAGAAACTTTTCATTCACATTCAATCTCTCTTTACGACAAGCTCTCTTACAACCAAGCATACACAAATACAATAGTGTTCAATGAGCCTTTCACCGTCAAACAAGACTCGTAAAGGAGCATAATATAATGAAAGGAAATGAGAAAAGAACAAGTAAAAAAAAAAAAGTCGACCGAGTGTTTTTTATTAATGACTTGTTCACTAAAGTAATTCTGACAGATCAACAGAAATGTTTCATGAAGAAATTGATTTGTGATTGACGAACTCCATGAATTCTATTAGTAACTAGAGCGGTCATTGACTAATCAATTTTATTTATTAATCAGTAGAAATATCTTATGATTATTTTCTTGTTTAATAGAGTCACTTAAAGGTGTGAGATGTGGTTTGGATGAAAATAGGTGAATTCAAACACAGACCAACACTAACATACTACATAAACGCCCTCAGCCACACTCACACCCCATATCTACACACAAAATGGTGCGTCAAGATCAAAAGTTCAGCAATGTTCAACTAGAAAAAATTCACTATTTATGACTCTCTCTCTGTCAACATTTATCATTACAAATCTCTACAATAATCAGTATATTGAATTCTTAAATTATTCATTTTACGTTGTTCAAAATGTTTTGATTATCCATATCATCATGAGTAGCATTAAGGATGTTTTATTGGAAATTGATGAAAATATTATTGATACACCAGCAGATGTTCTATCGATAAATTTGTCAAAATTGAATTCTATGATGCTCTTTTCATGTATTAGATCACCAGTGTTGAGCTCATTGCAACCAGGTTTTTGACAGATAATATTCCATTTCCTAGAGCGAGTTCGATCATTCATATCGAATTCTACTTCATATTTTAAAGAATTTAATGTAAGAAGTTGAGTGAAACACTTCGAATGTATTTCTCTTTTTTGAGATGTCATGATTACGGTAGTCGTACATTGTTTGCAAGTTGATGGATTGATTTCTTGTATCGAACTACCTTGATATTCAGTCGAGTTGGAGAAGAACAGACACCACTGACCATTAAATGTTCCATTGGACTCGACAAGATATTCGAGCTCTTCCAATTTATTGACCAATGTTAACGATTCTAGTACAAGCTTCAATCTGGCTGGATTGTTACATTTATCATCTAAACACCTATACATCATAGAGGTAGTCCATTCTGCTTTAGCTGGGTAGGAAGAGAAAGAAGCTGTAGCTTGTAAATCGTGACCGATTATGCCTAATTTCCAATACTCGTAGCCTGATGCGTCAATGATAGTTTTTGTCGGATTTTGCTTCCACTCCATGCGAATATAGCAATAAAACTGTTTAGTTACAATCGAGCAGTTGTTGAATTGCGTTGGCACTGTTTCAGTTGTAACTTTATAGTTAAAAACTTCATCAGAACAGTCATAACAGGATAAATCACATAACACTTGATTCAGTAGTAAGAAAGCGACAAATATTGAAATAAACATAGTTTTATTAAATTTTTTTTTTCACAAATAATACATGAATATTGTCGTTCTTCTAGTTCGTAATATATAAATGCAGATTTGTAAGATAATGTATATCAAAAAACTAATTGCGTAAATCACTTTTTCTTGTTCTATTATATGTATCAGAGCTATGATGATAAGGACACGTTGTCATGTTGATTATCAAGCAAAACAATATGACACACAATACCAATGACGTTTTATATTTGACCTAAATGACATGTTTTCTTTGTCTTGAAGAAGAAACCGACAGTGCAGAACATAAAAGGTATTCTAAAGATGAATAATCAAGTAGTAAGTTCTTGTTGTCTAAACCCACACTTTTGTTGCTTTGTGATAACTAGCTTCGATTTACTTCAAGACTTGTCATCACAAAGTTTGGTAACATCGAGACCATTACTTTATTCCTCTCAGCATCAAACACTACTAGCAGTTGGTGCGAAACTCTTCATCTAAAGTCTCTGTTCATTTTTGGCCACCCAGAAGTAGTTGTGGAGAGTCCGAAACCGTCAGCCACAATTGCAATTTTAGAACCCCTTTGGAGTATATAGTCTGAGTCTTGTTTTCTGCTCTAATTTCTTTCACAATGAGAAATGTTTTCAAAGAAGCAAAAATGTGTCAATGCTTAGTGTTGAACAAATAGTGATCTTTTCAATTTTGCTACTATTTCGTAGTTATTGTTAATATTCAGTATAAATTGATTCTCTATGATTTTTAATATTTTGCTCAATTTCGTTCACAATTCCGAAGACTGTTCTCCTCTCAGTAGTGAGATCTGTTGCTGGATCAATGTTTGCAGCTTGAAGTTCCGCTAGAATGGCTCTTCGACGACATTCAGCTCTTTCTGAAGTCATGACTGGATAGTCGACAGGAAACATTTTAACGTACTGAACATAGCGAGGATGTAAACTGTTGTTTGCTCGTGATCCATGCATCATACACTGATCCCAGAGAACGACTGAGCCAGCTCGCATAGAAATATGACAAGCCATCTTGTACATATCAGATAAAATGCAGAAGCTGTAAAAAGAATGAGAAAAATCAGCATCTGGTTATTAGATGAAATGATTTTTTTTTCTACAAACAGTAGCTAATCTGCTATTTACAGTCGTTTCGAATAAGTTTCAAATGAATAATTATGATTAATGAGTATCGATCAAAAGAAATAAAGACAAAAAGAGAGCAACATCTTTTCTACTAAGTGTATGACATATAAATGATTTGTTACAAATGGACGTATATCTGGCATCCAACCGACAGTCTGTAGAAAAAGAGGATTTTCAATAAAAAAGAGGAAAAAAAGAGAAGCATTTTTTCGCTTCTGAAATGCGAACAAAGGCTGCCGCGGGGTTCAAAAGTCAATAAATTAGAGCACCATTAATCTGGATTCCACACAGACTTGAAAAACTTGAAAGATGGAAACGATATTCAGTCCTTGACATTTGCGGTCGTGTTTTCTTGTACCGAGCTCAGAAAAAGAGAACTACAAAAAAGAGACAAAAAGGACAGAGTCTACTTCAAAAGAAAATCACTGAATATTCAGAATATGTTCAGTTTATAAAAGCACGAGAACTTAAAGAGCTAACATAAACAAAAGAAGATGTAATAGACCGTGCATATTTATAAGAGAAAAAAATACCACAAATTCAATTCAAAACAAAGCCTTCAAGGTTTTTTTCTCAAATCTGTAACAAGAATTTCTATCGCGTTATCGGAAGTTCTTCCTGGGAACAGAACAGTATTAATTCTGATGAATTATAAAGGCCTAATATAACTCGGAATCCAATTGGAATTGAATAATATACAAAAAAATTGTACTTCAAAAAAAATTTGAATCTTGAGTACACTACGGTTCAGTTTTCACGATTTTTCATAAAATTCCTCTAAGAGTCGGAAAACTGTACCTCTTGAAAGTTACATGACGGAGCGAATTTTTACAAAATTTGTTAGAGGTTATCACTAATTCATCTTCGAGACGACCAGAGATGCAGAATCTACTGCTGTGTGCGAATGGGCATTTGGGAAACTTTTCTTCTGGCGAAATTTTTGGAGCTTTTCGAGAAAAATCGTGTTTTGTTGCTTTGCTAACCGGCTACGTCTTGAAAACAATTTCCCCATTCAAGAAAATTTGATCACTTTGACGAAAGATTCTACAGTTCTGCAGTCAATATTCTTGAATTTCAATTATCGAAAATCGTGTTTAAGTTCATGCTCGAAGCTACCTTGTTGTTCCATTCAAGCACCAAGTTTTCAAACTTTTATGTTTGCACATACATAAGTC